AAAAAAAAAAAAAAAAAAAAAAAAAGGTGGCTGAATCATCTCACATCCATTAGGATGTCAACTATCAAAAGTATAGAAAATAACAAGTGTTGGCAAAGTTGTGGAGCAATTGGAACCCCTATGCACTGCTGGTGGAAATATAAAATGGTACAGCCACTGTGGTAACCAGTATGGTGGTTCCTCAAAAAATTAAAAATAGAATTACCATACAATCCAGCAATTCTACCAGGTATATACCCCAAAGAACTGAAAGCAGGGTCTCAATCAGATATTTACACCCATGTTCATAGCATTATTCATAAGAGCCAAAAAGTGGAAGGCACCCCAGTGTCCAACAGCAGATGAATAGATAAACAAAATGTGGTCCATCCATACAATGGAATACTATTCAGCCTTAAAAAAGAAGGAAATTCTGACACAGGCTGTAACATGGGTGGACCTTGACGACATTGTGCTCAGTGAATAACCTAGTCACAGAAGGACAAATACCATATGATTCCGCTTATATGAGGTCCCTAGAGCCATCAAATTCATAGAGACAGAAAGTAGAAGGTTGACTGCCAGGCGCTGGGAGGAAGGAGAATGGGGAGTTATTGTCTGATGGGTACAGTTTCAGTTTGGGAAGAAGAAAGAGCTCTGGAGGTGGATGGTGGTGATGGTTGCCCAACAACGTGGTTTTCATCACCAGTGGTAGTCCTTGGCCTATATGAGATAAAAAATGAAAATACCCAAGATTTCTTTCTTACCTTCAGAAAACAGCAAGCAAGTGAAAGAATACAAGCAGATACCTTCACTTACATCAGAGATCGGACATAGTGGAGCTACTGAGATTCAGGTTAGAGTGGAAGATGCCTACTGGATGCAAAGACCTGTGGCCCGACACTTGTGGACAGCTGCACTGACTTCTACCCAAACCAAGAGCCTAGGCCAGGTGGTCTGATGGAGACTTATTCCGAGAAGGCAAGGTGTGTCTGGTGGCTGAAGACCCCAAACAGCTTGTCCTTTGTTCACTTATAGTCTACAACAGAGCGAATGGCTGCTTTATTTTCAGGAAAAGTTAAAAAATAGAACAGTGTGACTGAAAGGCCTATTTACCTCTTGATGGCAAGGAGCTGAATGGAATGGTGGGTGTGTTTCCCAGTAGGTTGGTCTCAGGCACTGGAGTTTTATACATGCTTGGCATGTGGCCTGGATTTGGCCCATTCCAAACTCCTGGACCTGTGTTTCTCAGATCCACTGGTCTTGCTCCAAAACCGAGTGATGTACACAATCCATTTCTATAGTATAGTAACTGGGGTTGGCTGGTCAGCCCTGTTGGTTGCTGTACCGCATTTCCATGATTGGCTGCACCGGAATAAGCAAGGCCTTTTAGCCCTGGGCTCTGAGCATTCTCATAAGGTCTCTGCTGTGCAAAAGGGTCATGGGAGACCCTCCGTCTCCTCTCTTCCTGTCTCCTGTCAGCCACATTCTGTCTGGGCTGCTCTTCCGTACGCCTGTCCATGCGGCTGCCGTAAAGATGGTAGTTGGCCTCCTCCTGGAGTTTACTGTGCAGTAGGAGGTCCTCCTGCTGCTGCTGCCGCTGCTCTGGGGCAGGAGCGAACCAGGAGTCCTCCACAGGACCCAGCCCGAATCCCTGTGAACTGTGCAGCGAACTGGGCTGTTCTGTGGCTGAAAAGAAATGAATCAGCGTCGGAAAGTTTCATGAAACATTAGGAGTAAAAACCCGAGAGCACAGTCACGCATCTGCACCTTGGAGTAACACACTGAAAGCTCTGAGAACAAATAAAAAGGGTTTACCAGGTGGTTTATCCTCCTGTGAGTTACATAGGTAATAAGCAGTCGTCCCTGCCTGGCAGTGTGAGAGCACGAGAGAAGTTATAACCAAGCAGCAGAAAAGTGGGTGTTGTAGGAATGACCAAGGAAGAAAAGGACTTGTGTTGGAGCAGAGAAGGTGTCCCCTTGTTGTAACGCAGGGCTGGAAAATAAGAATGGCAGCAGTTCTGAGCTAAGCACTTCCGTGGATTCTTTTATTCTTTAAAAGCCCTATAACAGTAGGAGCACTTATTATTACAATGATGGATGAGGCTTACAAGAAGTCAAGTGATGTGCCTCAGAACAGACAGCTGATAAGTGGCTTCAATATCCTATACTCTGCTTTCCCTTCTGTTAAATGAAAAAAGTATCCCTGCTTGAATCTGAGGCCAACCTCTCTGCACGTACTCTGGACCCAGTCATCCCTGACCTTCTCAAGGACTTTGCTCCCACATAGGTTCCCGTCTTTTTCCTGAGCTGTCACTTCCTCCCTATCAGATATATTAGGCCTCTTGTGTTCAGGATACTTTATGATTTTGGTGAACATGTTGTTACCTAATATTTCAAATATATGTACCTTAACTCCGAATATATTAGAACGTCCTTTAAGGCAGCTGTTATATTTTATAGCTTCTTCTGTTTCTCATATAGTTGTAAATGGCATTTTAGACAGTACAGTGAGTGAATGAACAAACAAGTGAATAAACAGATTTTCAATCACAGTATAAGTTACCTGAATTTGACCTGCTTGGAGATATTGCTATGCAATCAATTTGGAGAGACTTCATTCTCTTTACAATTTCATTTTGGCCCGGATACTCTTTCTAGAATTAAGAACATAAAGACATACTTTAGTAAACAGCAGAAAATACTGGATTGGCCAAAAAGTTCCAGAAAATTGTTGTAAGGAAGAACGAATTTTTCAGAAGGTAGAAATTTCACATAGCTCTTACAAGCAGTAAATACTTCTTTAAGAAAATAAACTTTTTTCCCTAAATAGCCAAAAAAATCTTAAAAAAGAACAAACTTGGAGGGCTCACACTTCCTGATTTCAAAACTCACTACATAGCTACAGTAATCAAAACAGTGTGGTATTGGCCTAAGGAAAGACATACAGACCAATGGAATATAATGAACCCAGAAATAAACCCTTGCATATATGGCCAATTAATTTTTTATTTTTTATTATTTATTTATTTACTTTTGCTGTACAGCATGCGGATCCCCAACCAGAGATGGAACCCTTGCCCCTGCAGTGGAAACACCAAGTCTTAACCACTGGACCGCCAGGGAAGTCCCTGGCCAATTGATTTTTGACAAGGGGGCCACGACCATTCAATGGGGGAACACTGGTATCTACATGTGAAAGAATGAAGTTAGATCCTTACCTTTCAACATACACAAACATATATAAAAATTACCTCAAATGGATCAAAGGCCTAAGCTTAAGAGCTAAAATTATATAACTATCAGAAGAAAACATAGGGGAAAAGCTTCATGACATTGATTTGACAATGATTTCTTGGATATAACACCAAAAGCACAGGCAACAAAATAAAAATAGGTAACTGGACTACATCAAAATTAAAACCTTCTGTACATCAAAGGACACTATCAAGAGAGAGAACAGAGTAGGGAAAAATTTTTGTAAATCACATAAATAGAAGGGATGAATATCCAGATTATATAAAGAACTCCTATAATTCAGCAACAAAAAAGAAAACAACCCAGTTCAAAAACAGACAAAGGACTTGAATAGATATTTCTCCAAAGAAGACATACAGATGGCCAAGAAGCACATGAAAAGATGCTCAACATCATTACTCAAAGAGATATGCAAATCAAAACTGCCATTCATTACAAGGGCTATTATCAAAACAAAACAAAACCCAGAAAATGAAAAGTGTTAGTGAGAAGGTAGAGAAATTGGAACCCTTGTAAGTTAATGGTGGGAATATAAAATGGTGTAGATATTATGGAAAACAGTTTCATGGTTCCTCAAGTGTTTAATGTGTAATTATCATACAATCCAGCAATTCCACACGTAGGTATATACCCAAAATAATTAAAAGCGGAGACTCAAAAAGATACTTGTATACCAATGTTAATAGCAGCATTATTCATTATCGACAAAAGGTGGAAACAACTCAAGTATCCATCAAAGATGAATGAATAATCAAAATGTGACGTATACATACAATGGAATATTATTCAGCCTTAAAAAGGAATGAAGTTCTGATACATGCTACAAAATGGATGAACCTTGAAAACATTATGCTAGGTGAAATATGCTAGACACAAAAAGACAAATTGTATGATCCCATGTCTATGAGCCACCTAGAATAGTCACATTCATAGAGACAGAAAAGAGAATAGAGGTTACCAGGGGCTGGGGAGAGGAAGGAATGGGGAGTTGTTGCTTGAGATACAGAGCTTCTGTTTGGGATAATAAAAATGGAAATGGATACTCGTCGTGGTGGTACAACATTGTGAGTATACTTAATGCCACTGAATTGTATACTTAAAAATTGGTTAAGATGGTAAATTTTATGTTATGTATATTTTACTACAATTAAAAAAAAGATAAAACTTCTTCCCTTATAAAAATAATAATACTCATTATAAAAGATATAGAAAATGTATAGAATGATCTTTAAGTAGAAACCTACTCAAGTAAAAAAATTAACATTTTGTATTTCCTACAAGTTTTTTCCCCTGGTCATGTTTGCACTATGGTCTTAACAGAGTGCCTGCTACATAGGTAGACGGTCAAAAATATTCAGAATCAACATATGAATGATTTAGGGGAGAATGACACAGGATATTAATTTTGTGTACAGTTTGTAGCATTTTGTATGTTGCTTTTTACTTAACACATAAGCATTTTTATGTTATTTTTTGTTTTTTCCTTTAATTGGGAGTATAACTGCTTTACAATGTTGTGTTAGTTTCTGCTGTACAACGAAGTGAGTCAGCTATATGTACACCTATATCCCCTCCCTCTTGGACCTCCCTCCCGGCCCCCATCCCACCCATCGAGGTCGTCACAGAGAACCAAGCTGAGCTTCCTGTGCTATACAGCAGGTTCCCACTAGCTATCTATTTTACACATGGTAGTGTATATATGTCAATCCAGATCTCCTAATTCATCCCACCCTCCCCTTCCCACCCTGTGTCCACATGTCCATTCTCTACGTCTATGTCTCTATTCCTATCCTGGAACTAGGTTCATCTGTACCATTTTTCTAGATTCCACATATAAGCGATATTATACAGTATTTGTTTTTCTCTTTCTGACTTACTTCACTCTGTCCCTAGGTCTATCCACATCTCTACAAAAGGCACTATTTCATTCCTCTTTATGGCTGAGTGATATTCCATTGTATATATGTGCCACATCTTCTTTATCCATTCATCTGGCGATGGACACTTAGGTTGTTTCCATGTCCTGGCTATTGTAAATAGTGCTGTAATGAACACTGGGGTACATGTGTCCTTTTGAACTATGGTTTTCTCAGGGTATGTGCCCAGTACTGGGATTGCTGGGCCGTATGGTAGTTCTGTTTTCAGTTTTTTAAGGAACCTCCATACTGTTCTCCATAGTGGCTGTATCAATTTACATTCCCACCAACAGTACCAGAGGGTTCCCTTTTCTCCACACCCTCTCCAGCATTTATTGTTTGTAGAGTTTTTGATGATGGCCATTCTGACCGTGAGGTGATACCTTGTTGTAGTTCTGATTTGCATTTCTCTAATAATTAGTGATGCTGAGCATCTTTTCATGTGCCTCTTGGCCATCTGTATGTCTTCCTTGGAGAGATGTCTGTTTAGTTCTTCCACCCATTTTTTAATTGGTTTGTTTTGTAAAAGCAATTGTTTTCTTTTTACAGTTATTACTTATTAGACAAAATATATAAATACAAACTTCTTTTAAAAGATTCAAACTGCTGAATTACACAGAGCAACACTTTAATGTCGTTCCTTCCAACCCCCTCTCTTCCATTTTCAGAGGGAATCCTTATCTGGAGTATGTTGTGGACCTTTTATTCTCTCTAGGCATTTGCATATATATTCTGGAAATATACAAATATTTATATATATGTGTGTGTGTGTGTATATATATATTTACACATTTGTGCATTTCCAAATTTTAACTCTCACAAAGGTGCAAAAATCTCCTGAAGCTACATCTCTGAGCATACATGTGAGTAGGACAGATTACTAAGAGCAGAACTGCAGCAGAAGTCATGTGCTTTTAGAAGTGTGATAGATGCTTCACCGCTCAATAAACTTCAACTCTCACTTTTACCAATACTACATGAGATTGTCTGTTATTCTGCATTTTCACAAACACTTGATATTATCAACCTTTCAAAACTACTGTCAATCTAATGGATGAAAAATTATAATCAATTCACTTTGCTTTTCTGTTAGTGAGACCATGTATCTTTTTCAAGCTTTATTGTCCATTGATGGATTCAGCTTGTTTATATTTTACTCGGGATTTTCACATCTACATTGTTAAGTGAAACTGTTCCGTAAGTTTCCTTCCTTGTATCTTCTTTGCAGGTTTGGGAATCAGGGTTGTTATGCTAGAGTCTCATAAAATGAGTTTAGGAACGTTCCTTCTCTGTTACCTCGAGAAGCTGTATACAATTGGGGTAATTTTTTCACTGAGTATTTGATAGAAACTGCTGATGAAGCTATCTGGTTGTGGAATTTTCTTGCAGGACTGATTCAATCTCTTTTAATAGTTATGGGAATATTCAGGTTTTCCATCTCTATTTGAGCCAGTTTTGCTAAATTATACAGTTGACCCCTGAACAACATGGGAGTTAGGGGTGCTCACCCCCTCACAGTCGAAAACCCAAGTATAATTTTACAGTTGGCCCTCTGTATTTGTGGTTCCACATCATGAATTCGACCAAGTAAAGATCATGTAGTACGTATTTATTGAGAAAAATCTGTGTATAAGTGGACCCATAGAGCTCAAACCTGTGTTGTTCAAGAGTCAACATACTTAAAGCTGTTATTTCCTTCTTGGTGAAATGAAACTTTTATTGTTATGAATTATTCCTGATTGCTGTGGTAATGCTTTTTTTCCTTAGTGACTATCTTTCCTGATGTCCTTTTGATTACTTCCTTGGTCTGCATTGGATACCTCTCTTTTATAGTGTAGGTATCCCTCCAAAGTCTGGCAATTGTTTTTGTTTTTATTTTAATTTTTTAACATCTTGATTGGAGTATAATTGCTTTACAATGGTGTGTTAGTTTCTGCTTTATAACAAAGTGAATCAGTTATACATATACCTATGTCCCCATATCCCCTCCCTCTTGCATCTCTCTCCTACCCTCCCTATCCCACCCCTGCAGGTGGTCACAAAGCACCGAGCTGATCTCCCTGTGCTATGCGGCTGCTTCCCACTAGCTATCTGTTTTACATTTGGTAGTGTATATGTCCATGCCACTCTCTCACTTTGTCCCAGCTTACCCTTCCCCCTCCCCGTATCCTCAAGTCCATTCTCTAGTAGGTCTTCATCTTTATTCCCATCTTGCCCCTAGGTTCTTCATGACCATTTTTTTGTTTTTAGATTCCACGTATATGTGTTAGCATACGGTATTTGTTTTTCTCTTTCTGACTTACTTCACTCTGTATGACAGACGCTAGGTCCATCCACCTCACTACAAATAACTCAATTTCGTTTCTCTTTATGGCTGAGTAATATTCCATTGTATATATGTGTCACATCTTCTTTATCCATTCATCTGTTGATGGACACTTAGGTTGCTTCCATGTCCTGGCTATTGTAAATAGTGCTGCAATGAACATTTTGGTACACGACTCTTTTTGAATTATGGTTTTCTCAGGGTATATGCCCAGTATTGGGATTGCTGGGTTGTATGGTAGTTCTATTTTTAGTTTTTTAAGGAAACTCCATACTGTTCTCCATAGTGGCTGGATCAATTTACATTCCTACCAACAGGGCAAGAGGGTTCCCTTTTCTCCACACCCTCTCCAGCATTCACTGTTTGTGGATTTTTTGATGACGGCCAGTCTGGCAATTCTTGACTATCTGACTGTGTATGTGTGTGTATATCTTAAAATCTCTGTCTGCCTGCCCGTTTTATTTACTGTAGTCTCCCTTTCACGATTATAGCAGCATGTTGCTGTAAGACTTAAGATAACAGCTTGTTTCCTGAGTGTGTGAGGAGGGGAGGTCTCTGCTCCTCTTGGTTGGTTAGTTGGCAACAGTCTCTGACATACCTCTCTGATCCCAGGCACCAAACTCACTGCTTCGGCCCTGGGCACATGCTGCTCCCACCTGCTGCTTTAGCATAAGACGTGAGGGGGGAGGAGCCAACTTTTAAAAGTGACACAACCGTGGCTCCCGAATGACGACGCCACCAACGTCCCGTGTGACCACCCACCTCTACACGCTGACCCGAGACGTCTTCCTCCGTGACTTCTTGATTATCATGTTTGGGGCAGCCTTTTAAAACTTTTTTCCTATTTTATGTCTTGACAGATATAATTCTGTTGGCTTTTTATCTTTCAAGAATTCCTCAGTCAAAATGACTGATCCACCTATGGTACTTTCCATCCTGTTCCAGTAATGCTGTGCTTTTGTTTTCATATTGGTAGATATAGTTTCTCTCACTTCATTAGTTTTGGCAGAGGAACGGGCCCGGTGTGCTAACTTGATGATATCTGCATAAAACTGCCTATCTTGTTTTTTGTGGTTACCAAGCTACCTTACCTCAAATCTCCGTAATAAAGTGCGATGCTTTGGTTTTCACGACTGACAATATATGTGCTTCAGTGCTAGCGTCTTGAGCAGCGGCTACGTTACCTACCTTTAGACTCTTCACATCCTCTTCTACGTGCTCTTCTAATTGATTTAAATAAAAAGGCCTAAATCTCTCTTCAATGCCTATATATAAAAAAAATAGTACTTTAAATTTCTTAAGTATTTTCTAGAATAAGAGTAAAATATTACCAATCTATTATCTTTGAATTACTTACCGTAACCTGTGGGCAAAGCAGGGAAATATAAACTTAAATGCCAAACCACTGACTTTCATAAAGAGACTAACGAGACTATTACACAGACAGAACAAAGGATAGGGTATCACTGGAAACCCAGGGCTCCTGCCTAATAATAGACAGTTTCTCTGGCTGCAGCACAAAGCCCTACCTAATACAAGTTAATTTCCAAATGAAAAAGATGGGTGGACTCCTAGTTTCTGTCCCTTTGGCATCTGAGTTACTACAGGGTGGAATACTCAGAATAAGGATCTGGTATAAAGTTAGAGCTGTTATAGCCTTAAAAGAAAAATGTAATTTCCATTTTTGGGAAGATGGAATAGACATACTTTTCCTTATTTCTCCCACTAAGTATGACAAGAACCCCTATATATTATATTATATATAAAACAAACATAAGGAGACTGAAAGGAGGAGAGACAAAGTCAGACTAGCTAGGGACTTTGGGATCTGAGGAAAGACATGGCAGTGAGCTTACTGGATTTTTTTTTTTTCCTGCTGCACATATCTCAGACTTGGACCTGAAGAAGCTAGCAACCCAACAAAAAAGCCCAACAAAAGCCTTTTCTTTCTGGCCAGAGGGCTAAGCAAGGGGCAGCCTAGCAAGACAGAGTGCTTAGTCCATAACCACTCTCCAGCCAAATGCCATAGAAAAATCATGACTCCATCCCCCACCTCCACCAGCAAAGACTGAGTGGGGAGTTGAGACTCCCGACCCCAGAAGACACTGACAGGGTGCTCCAACACCCCACCAGGGTGATGTTAGAGAAGGCCAAATAGGAGGCCAGAACTTTCCTTCCAGTCAGGTGGTAATGAGCCCCTCCACTCCTGTGGTGTCAGTGGACAACAAGGGTAGACTGAACTTGCATCCTCACCTTGCAGTAATAAGATGCTCCTTCCCTATCCCAATGGGGAACTATCAGAAGAGGCCTTGGGTGAGTCGGGACTTTCACCTCCACTGCAGTGTCCATGGAGACCATGTGGACTCCACTGAAACCCTCACCCCTGACCAGTAGTAACGAAAAGCCTCCCACTTCAGGTGTCAGCAGGGCCAAGTGGGGAAACTGACTTCCTTCCACCTGGTGCTAACAAGGTGGCAGTCACCCTTTCTTTGTCAAAGCCATGTCAGAAGAGGCCAGCTAAAAACAGAAGGCTTCATAGCAAGAAAATGTACAAGTTTCAATAGAAAAATCATTCATCATACTAAGACCCAGTAAGGTCACAAACTGAATGACAAAAGACAACTAACAGATGCCAACATCAAGATGACAGAGACACTAGGATTACACATTGAAGATTTTTAAACAGCCATGATAAAAATGCTTCAAGAAGCAATTATAAACATGCTTGAAACAAATGAAAAAATAGAAAGCATCAGCAAAGAAACAGAAGATATGAAAGAAATTTCAGTGAAATTTTAGAACTGAAAAATAAAATAAGGCAAATAAAAAGCTCCGTGGATGAACTCTACAGCAGAATGGAGGAGAAAGAGGAAAGTCAGTGAAATGGAAGACAGAACAATAAAAGTGAACGGAAATTCTAGGTAAAGGGTACGTGGGATATCTGTGTTATTTCTTATAACTACATGCAAATCTACAATTACCTCAAAATAAGAATTTTAGTTTAAAAAAGTGAAAAAGGCATGAGACAAGACACCAAGCCAGGATAAGATTCAGCAAATAAGAAAACAGGCAACCAAATCAATCTAACCCTTTGGTGGGAGTGTTAGGTGCGGCTTCAGTTCTGTTTTCTCATAGCAGAAATATGAGAGCAAAATCCTCTGTAGGCTCCTACCTTCCTTCCTGCTATTTATTTTTCCCTCACCTGATATTTTCTTCTTTCCTCTGCCTCTAGGCCTTTAGCAAGATCCTAGGCAACACAGGGGAATGAGAAGAGGTACAAGGATGTGAGATGTCCATGCCCCTTTCCTTCTCCTTCTATTATCGGCCCAAATCCAAATGACAAAATCGCATTTCCAGAGATGCCAGCTCCACAAGGGAAGGGAAATGAAATCAAAGCTAAGAAATAAGAAGGCCTGTGGAAGCAACCCATTCAGCAGATGAATGGACAGACAAAATGTGGTCTACATACCATGGAGTACCACTCGGCAGTGAAAAGGGAGGATCTGACACAGGCTACAATGTGGATGAACCCAGAAGATACTGTGCACAGTGAAATAAGCCAGCCACAAAAGGACAAATACTGTATGATTCCACTTAAATGAGGTACCCGGAGTAGCCAAATTCAGAGAGACAGAATGTAGAATGATGGTTGCCAGGGGCTGGGGGAGAGGAGATGGGGGGTTATTGTTTAATAGATACAGTTTCAGTTGGGAAAGATGAGAAAGTTTTGGAGACAGATCGTGGTAATGGGTGCAAACATTGTGAATGTACTTAATGTCGCTCAACTGTACACCTGAAAATAGTTAAAATGGTAAATTTTGTGTCACGTATATTCTAACACAAGTTTTTAAAAGTTAATTATAGGAAAAAAAACCCCACAAAGATACAAGAGGACCTATATGCCTTCATGCTCTGGGGAGGGATGACAACTTTTCATTGAACAAAGTGTTTGGAATCTAGAAAATCAGTTTGAAATCACAAGTGGAACTCAGTTTTCTAAAAACTCAAAGCAACTTCCTGTCAGCATCTCACTGGGAAGATCACCACGCGGAGACTGTGCAGTCATGGAAGATGCTCACCAGCAAACGTCGGCCGATCTTCTGGATTCACCGCCCAGCACTGCTCCATGATGCTGACAGCCTCCCGCGGGCAGTGCCCAGTGATGTCCTCCACGTCCGGCCTGCTCCCAGATTTAATGCGCATTATCAGCTGCTGCTCACAGATAGCATCTATAAAACAAAGAGGAGCTTAAGCTGAGCTTTCAGGTCCTGCTCCTCTCAGGCAGGGAGGTGACAGAACTTGGACAAAGCCACTGATCTCTCTCTGCCTAGGGGACGCTTCCAGTACAGCTGCCGCATCCAGCAGGGGCAGAATGGCCCTGTGACAACGAGCTGATGAATTCCACTGCGGAGATGATCAAACAGCATTTTAGTTTCTGCAGGTGAAAGAGAGAATTCACAGCAAAGCTGACTCCTCGTAGAACAAATGGAATATGTGAATAAAGCCAATGCCACACTCCAGATTTTCATACAAAGACAAATACAGGACAGCGTTTGCCTTGAAGGAGCTCAGTTTAATAAGAGTGACTTAAAATGTAGAGTGACAACGGCTATTCGAGAAGTAAGTACAAAGGGTTCTGGTAACAGGACCACGAATAGAAGGTCAGAGAAGGCTTTGTTGAGTCCAGAACAATAGGCAGGAATTATCCAGGTAAAGAAGCGGGAAGGAGGATTCAGAGAGGAGGATCCAGGCTAAGAAAGCAGGATATGAATAGATTGGAAGTTGCAGAAATCATGATGCATCCCAGAAATTCTGAATAGTTCAGTGTAACTGGGCATATTGACTAAAGGAAGTGAGGAAGGAATAAGGTTAGACAGAGAAACAAAAGCCAAATCAGAAAGGACCCTGTACTCCATACTGAGGAATCCGAACTTTACCCTGAATGTCAAGGGTGCCTTGGCAGGATTTTAAACAGATGAGTGAGACGGTCTGATTTGCTTTTTAGGACGAGCAGCTTGGCTGCAGTGTGAATGGCGGGCGGCGCAAGGAGACTGCCATAGAAATACAGAGGGTCTGACCTAGTGAGGGCCCTGTGGGGGACGGGGAGAAGCGGATGTACCTTGAATCAGATACACCTTGAGTTCACACTTGTTTTTTTGTTTTTTGTTTTTTTCCCGGCCACGCCACACAGCTTGCGGGATCTTAGTTACCCGACCAGGGATTAAACCTGGGCCTTCAGCAGTGAAAGCGAGGAGTCCTAACCACTGGACCGCCAGGGAAGTCCCCAATTCATAGGTTTTGGTGTCTGATTGGATGTGGGAGATGAGGGGCAAGGTTGAGTATGGGATGACTAAAATTTCTGGTTGGGCAGCTCGGCTGGTGGTTGGTGATGCCATTTTCTGAACATAAGAGCAAAGCTGAATGAGCTACTAGGCCAGCACGGAGAAGATGGCTTTGTTTTGGGGGGACGCTGCTTTGGGGTTCCCCTGGTATGTGGACTGGGTCTGACTAATAGACAAGTGGATATCCAGGCCAGGGCTGGAGATTTGGGAGGTGTCAGCAAAGAGGTGATCATTAAACCATGGGAGCTGCTAATCACCCAGGAAGAATGGGCAGGAGAACGTCCATTAGTTTAGATACTTAACAGACTGAAGAAAAGGCTCATCTGTTCTCCTGCACAAACCATGACTTTCTCAGCTTTATATTCTCAATTCTGAGTAAAGTCCCACAGTAAGTACTGAAAAGAAACGATTTCTGAATGAATGAAGCATTAGGGGACGAATGAAAGTATGGAGTGTATGCCCTGAAAGGGTTAACCCCTCATAAGCAGAAGCAGGCAAGCTTTCCTGTCCGGGAGGAATTATGGAATGTTACAGCACCTCCCAAGCTTATACGCGTTACCAAGGCTCCTCCCTGTCCTACGATCCCTGATTCCTAAACTGAGATGACTCGTTCTTTCAACAAACACTTCCTGAGCACCTACTACGTTCCAGGTACTGTATGTGTAGATACTGGGGAAACAGCAGTGAATGGATCAGATGTGGTCCTTGCCCTTGTGGAGCTTATAGTCCAGTTGGTAAGACAGACATTAAATGAACAAACAATGATACATCTTAACTGACTTCACTGAAGGCTAATATTCTGTTGAACAACTTTGATTAGTACCCAAATCCCACTCCTCTGTAACTGCCTTACTTTCATATGGCTCCTTGTTGGCAAAGACGGCCCAGAGCACTATGGCGAAGCTGAACACGTCCGACTTCTCGGAGGGCCTCGAGCTGACGTCGTTCAGGCACTCGGGGGCCATGTAGTGGAGGGTGCTGCCGTTCTTCGTGGTGCTCTTTCCTCTCCTCTGCGCAGTAAGCTCCTCTTTCATCAGCTCACTCCACGTCTTAAGGGAGGCAAGGCCAAGGTCAGCTATCTGCAAGGGAGCAAGCCCACGGGATTGTTCTGTGAAGGCTACAAGCGAATCAGATTTGCCTTCAACTCTGGGCCTTCTTCAGTAGATGTGAGGTACAGTAACATTTCCAGAAATGGTTGCACTAGATAAGTTTAAAACAGCTACTTCTGAACAGACTAGTAGCAACTGTATGTCCTCAGCCATCTGGAAAATCTCCCTTACGAAATGTCTGTGCGCCAGGTTCAAGCCCTGGTCCGGGAAGATCCCACATGCCATGGAGCAGCTAAGCCCGTGCGCCACAACTACTGAGCCCACGTGCCTAGAGCCTGTGCTCCACAACAAGAGAAGCCACCGCAATGAGAAGCCCACACACAGCAAAGAAAAGTAGCCCCTGCTCGCCGCAACTAGAGAAAGCCCGTGCACAACAACGAAAATCAAACACAGCCAAAAAATAAATAATTAAATAAACAAATTTATAAAGAAAGAAACAAAACAGAAACATCTGTGTGAAATTCTGGTATCTCAATTCTTACGCAATAAAACCTGGGGGCGGGGGTAAAGGGGTGAGAAAAGCAGAAGATGTCTCTGAGATGAATACAACAAAACATGTTCATTCTAATTCCTCATTTATTCTGCATATATTTTTCAACTACTTCTGAGGTTAGGAAAAAACAGGTACTTTCTTCTCAGCAGATTTGTATAGCAGATGGTACTGCATCTTCTATTTTCCCAAATGGTGTCCAGAAGCCCAAGGATGCAAATTTCCGAGGATACCAACACTGAGGATAAGGACTGCAGTGCTACCTGTTCTGAGTTGGGAGCCTGAACCTAAGAGAAGATGGGATGAGAAGGAGGGAAAAACAGACAAAAAAGCAAAGAAAAAATACCAGGGTCAGACACAGAACAAAGAGGGAGGTGGCAGGGCAAAATGACAGAACACTACAGTTAAGAAATCAGAGGTGACAGTTTCACTTTTGCCTCAAGGAATCCAAGCATCTGGGGATGATTTCTGGCATGTGATTATCTAAAATCCTCAAATTCTAACCCAGAACATAACAGATAAGTTATTAATGTAAAGAAGAACCTTCTTTTAAAGACACAGGAATAAAAACCTCCGCCCAGGACTAGAACAGAGTGTGAGAAGCAGAATCTTCTGGTGAAGGGATGCCTGTGTAAGCAGTTCCCGAGTCCTCCCCCCAGATGCCACTTCCCCTTTCAGATGCTTGCGCTTGGATTCCTGCTGCCAAAGCCAACTAGATGTGATGCTCCGTCTAGTGAGCGCTTGCTCTTGAGTGAGCAAAAGAAAAGCCCTTTGCCTTCTTCCTTTTACTACAGTGGAAAGAGAGTTTTCAACAGGAAACTGAGTTTGAAAAAGGAGATGACGGGACTTCCCTGGTGGTCCAGCGGGTAAGACTCCACACTCTCCAATGCAGGGGGCCCAGGTTCTATCCCTCGTCGGGGAACTGGATTCCACGTGCCGCAACTAAGAGCTCAAATGCCTCAACTAAAGATCCCACTCATGGCAACGAAGATCCCGCATGCCACGGGTACAGCCAAATAAATAAATATATATATAAATATATACTAAAAATAAAAAAAAATTAAAAAGGAGATGAAAGTAAATGAATAAATAAAAAATATCAACTCCATCAAATCTGCATCTTGCTTTTCCTTCCTTGGTAGAGCTTTCTGGCACCACCATTACCAGCTATGCGCTGAGCTAGCTCTTCCTTTAGCGTGTATCATGTCCAAAAATGGATTTACAGTGGACAATTAAAACTAAAATTACCCCAATCCTCCAGAAGCCTTGACTATGGTTTACCTTAATGTGAAAGTCACCATCGACGAGGATATTTTCAGGCTTGAGGTCCTTGTGTATTACACCTTCTCCGTGTAAGTAGCGCATTCCTTCAATGGTCTCCATAATTATCCTTCCTTTCACAGAGAGAGGGATACTGATCTAAAACGAGTGATAGTAAGTCCGTGAATGGAAAGGTAATCAAAGAGGCCAAAGCAACCGTTTCCTTCAAGAGTAGTGGGGTCTGAACCTGAGGACAAAGAGACCAGGTTTCCTTCGATCAGGCCCAGCAGCACTGCTGTCATTGCAAAACAAGCCCCCCTTTAAGAGAGATTTTATCCCAACTGCTGAGGGTGTTCATGTAGTGCTTTGTCAGTGTACAAATAAAACTTCCACGCCAATATGGTAATATGCAAAACTGCTATAAAATTAAGCTCCTTGAGAATGGAACTATATTATCTATTATTATTATTTACTTAAGATGTGTCCTGACTACCTTGCATGGTGCCTGTAATATCTGTTGAATGAATGCATATATATACAAAAAACACAAATATTCTCAATGGCGTACTAATATGATGTGCTACTATATATTAAATATGTAAACAGTGCCATAAAAATGTATGTGTGAAATAAGGTTAAGAGAAAAAAGAATACAAGAGAATGTGCTCACATTGATCAAAAACATGTAAAGATTAGGGCTTCCCTGGTGGCGCAGTGGTTGAGAGTCCGCCTGCCAATGCAGGGGACACAGGTTCGTGCCCCGGTCCGGGAAGATCCCACATGCCGCAGAGCGGCTGGGCCTGTGAGCCATGGCCGCTGAGCCTGTGCGTCCGGAGCCTGTGCTCCGCAACGGGAGAGGCCACAACAGTGAGAGGCCCATGTACCGCAAAAAAAACAAACAAACAAACAAAAACATGTAAAGATTAATCTATGAGATGACACGATGTGGTTAAAACAATGCTAAAGTGAATTTAACATCTGTTTGGTGATTTGGTATCAGATATGGCAAGCCTTTGTAGATTCTCGGGTCACTCTCACTTAAAATTGTATTCTAGTTATAATGACTATCAACGTTAATACAGACAATTTCAGTTTCTATTAAACAGTTTTGCTTAACATTGAAAAACACAAACTCTCACTCTGTGTGTGTGTGTGTGTGTGTGTGTGTGTGTGTGTGTGTGTGTGAAGTCCCTAGTTTACAAATAGGCTGTTTCCTAAAAATTTATGTGTATGTTAGTTGCTGATAAACAGGAAAAAAATTTAAATGATGGAAGTTAGATTCCTAAGTCAATCCCCCAAAACATCTTAAGTCATAATGTGGCTGCACTACAGTATTAGTAGCCTGATCACCACATACAAAAAAAACAAAAGCCAGAGATTCTGCCTTTTTCCTTCGTATACCTTTGGACTTGGGAAAAAATTCTGAGCATGCCAAGTAGATCCCCTTTTCTTTCCTCTTTTTGTTTGTCTCCCTTATATCCTCCTGAATTTCTTCTTGAGCCCCAATAGATGCACCTTATCTTAGCCTGATCCATCCCACAGAATGTCTCTTGTCCCAAACGATGTATCTCCCAATCAAAATGCCTACTTGTGGGCTTCCCTGGTGGCGCAGTGGTTGAGAGTCCGCCTGCCGATGCAGGGGAGGCGGGTTCGTGCCCCGGTCCGGGAGGATCCCACATGCCGCGGAGCGGCTGGGCCCGTGAGCCATGGCCGCTGAGCCTGCGCGTCCGGAGCCTGTGCTCCACAACGGGAGAGGCCACGACAGTGAGAGGCCTGCATACAGCCAAAAAAAAAAAAAAAATGCCTACTTGCTTCACGGATCATATCTCGATCATATCTCGATTGGGGAAGAAGAGAAGTCTGATCAAATTACAATACAACCAGTTAGTGACTATCGTTTAGCCTTCCCGGCAACTATCTGTGAGATTTGTCCGATTGAAAAAGAACTGAAGGACTGACATAGCTTCAGGCAGCTGGGGGGTGGGGAGGGGTGAAGACGGGAAGAGGGGGGAATATCTGCATAAGGACAGTCGTAGCTCCCCCGCGGGCACTCTCTACTGTGCCCACCCCAGTTCTCTGCGTTCCCCACACTGGCCAGGCTCTAGTTCCTTCGCTCATGCCCTTCCCTCTGCCTGGAACGGTGACTTACTCCCCAGTTCTCTGCTTCAAATCTTCTGCTTGTCCGTCACACTCCCGCTCCAGCCTCCTCCTTCTGGAATCCCTTCCCATCCATCCCACGCTGGGGAGAGAGCCCCTCTTCTGCGTTCCCAGAGCTCACTATGAGCGTGTCTATCAAAACAACACCACACCAGATTGTTTATTTCCTGTCCCGTTACTTGTCTGTGTCACATTTGCTATTGCTTCCTGGGCAAAGAGCACAAGGCCTTGCTCTTAACAGGTACATACACTTTTAAAAATGCTTTAAAGTTATCTGTCTTTGGTAAGCAATATTAACCTTCCTGTTCTAAGCCTTCCTTACCCAGTGCTGTTATTCTAATGTTCTATATTTAACCTATCAGCTTCTTCAATGGCATCAAAATGCAATCACTAATATTCCATCTTCTCATACAGCCATTTATAGTGTACATCTTTTTTTTTTTTTTTTTTTTTTTTTTGCGGTACGTGGGCCTCTCACTGCTGTGGCCTCTCCCGTTGCGGAGCACAGGCTCCGGACGCACAGGCTCAGCGGCCATGGCTCACGGGCTCAGCCGCTCCGCAGCATGTGGGATCTTCCCAGACCGGGGCACGAACCCGTGTCCCCTGCATCGGCAGGCGGACTCTCAACCACTGCGCCACCAGGGAAGCCCTATAGTGTACATCTTTTAATCAATCAATATTTAATTGTAATCCATTATGCATGCACCCCCCATCAGACCACGTGCTTCGTAAAGACAGTGCCTGCCTCTGAACTGTGGATCTGAGAGTGGCTGACAAAAGCCTCCTACAACACTGAGACCTAGAGATGACCCTCTGAGAGAGGGATGGACACCTGTCTGTAGGCACTGAGAGGAGGGCGAGCTCACCTTCTGGGCATGGAAAGTCAAGGAAGATTTAACGAGGGACTGACTTGAGAAAATCCTGAATATTCAGCCATTCACAAAGGACTCTTGTGCACCAAGGGGCTGGCAGGGCGCGCTCTCGGGCCTGGGTACCTGGGCCTTGAGCGTGCGCATGAGGTCGCCCTTCTCCACGTACTCCATCACCAGCGAGTAGTTCCCGTCCTCCATGATGACGCCCAGCAGCTTCACCACGCGGCTGTGCCGCAGCCTGTGCATCATCCTGCCCTCCTCCAGGAGGGCCTCATCGTACCTGGGGGAGGGAAGGGGGTTCAGGCAGACACAGGCAGCCCCTGCTCCCTTCCTGCCCCCAGAAACGCCGTGGCTTGGGATTCTTTGGAGCATCAGCGCACACGCTCTGTCGCCCCTTGTGCATGTGCTGGTCTCTACCAGACACAGACCACCAGCTCCGGAAGGTGAAGCGGTCGCTCGTTCACTCTACATTCCTCCCTCCCAGTGACCGGCAGCGAGTGCTCAAGAAATGTTACACGGATGAACGAATCAATGCAAAGTATCATACATGAACAGCAGCAGCGAAATGCGGCCAGAAAAAAGGACTGTGCTGGACAGTGTAATGAAAAACGCGGTCTCTCTCACAACCACTCAGGCGAGAACAGAGGGAAGTAAAACAGTGCCACCAACTGCCTTCAAGAGAGGGTTCCTGGAACCTCTATTTCATGAACCAGCTTTTTGTTCCTGTACTTAGGGCTGGTTCTCACCAACACGGTGAAGCAAGGGCATCCATCCGCCTTCCCTGCTCCCTCCCGTTCCCTCTCCATCGGCCCCTGCGGCCCCTGCGTTGCCCTGCGTCTTCTTCCCTTTCTCTTTGCCTCCTGCTCAGCTTTCTTCCGTTATTTACCAGCCCTGAGCTCTTCCCTAGCCAGCCTCCAAACCCTCATCAGCGATTCAAGGATGTTAATATCCACCCTTCAGGGTTATCTGACATAAAGCCCGGGTGCTGACCCTTGCACCCCATCTGTCTCATTCTAAGGCCTGTGCCGCCCGTATCCACCGCCCTGGCCAGTCACGTGGCCCATCTGCCTCTGCCCCCAACTCACTCGGTGAGCTTGGGGCCCGTGTACACCTTCTTCAGGACCACGAGTCCATGGGAGCTGTGTAAACACAGAGACACCTTCCCGAAGCCCCCGCCGTCCAGGTCCTCCTGCCTCAGGAATTCAGTAGAGCTCATCCTAATGTCATCCAAGGACATGTCTGGTTTCCTTCTGAAGGCTCAGAATGCCCCCAAAATACACAACTGGTTTTTTCCCCTCAGAGCTGTGCCCTGTGAAGAAAATAAGAGGACACATCAGTGCAAAAAAATCGTTATTCAAAAAATACATGTAACGTCCTACCATGCGCTTGGTGTGCCTTTATTTTCTGAAGATAGATTTTAGTCTCTAAGATGAAAGGTTTTCATGTTTCCAGGAACCACAGACAACCATACATCCTCCCTCAGACTTTCATTTCTAGCATCATGAAGACGAAAAGCTCTCCTGCTACAAAGGACCCGCCGCATGCACCGGATAACACAATACAAACACCCATTCAAGTGCACAGCTAGGCTCCGCAGAAAGGAAAGAACTCCAGGGACGGAAAACAAACAGCGTGTGGGGCACGGGCCACGTGACGGCTAACGTGGGCGGAACGTCAGTGTGCCCCCCAGATTCATATGTTGAAGCCCGAGCTCTGACAGTATTAGGAGGTGGGGCCTTTGGGAGGCGATTAGGCCATGAAGGGGGCCTCATGAACGACCTTAGTCATCCGCGAGGCCCCGTAAAAAGACAGGAGAGAGCTTGCTTCCTCTCCTCTCTCCGCACCCACCCCCCTTTCTCTCCACCATGTGAGTACAGTGAGAGGATGGCCGGCCATCTGCACACCAGGAAGCAGGCCCTCACTAGACACTGGACCGGCTGGTGCTTTGACCTTGGACTTCCAGCCTCCAGAACTGCGAGAAATAAATGTCTGTTGTTCAAGCAGCCCAGTCTATGGTAATTTGTTACAGCAGCCGAGCTAAGAAGTGGCCCTGTGGGGCACCACCAACCGCAACATCCAAAGGTCAGGGTTTAAAACCCAGCCACAGACAGGAGCTGAGGTCAGGACATGCAAGAAAAGAGGGTTGGAACAAAGACTCTGCCCTTAACGTGGCACTTCTCAATGTGCTACCCTACCCCACAATGAAAGGATGGACTACAAAAAAAGCAGTCCACTAGCAAAGGAACTTGTTTGTCTTAGACTGAGCTTGGGGTATAAAAAAAAGTCTCCGTGTAAATTCATAACCTTGGGCTTGTCTTCAAATAGATTTGGGCTTTAAATTTACACTCCTCTTACCTCTTATGGCCAGGATCCCCCAAATTAAGAACTTTTATACAGAAAATGGTCACAGGCTGATGACATCCCTGGGTGATAAGGTTAAAGCAAACTAAACACCCCCAAGGCAGACCAGACAGGATTCCCACAAATAAAGCCTAACTTAACATGTGCTCCCTTTCCAAAATTATAAAACACCGGAAAAAAAAAGTCCACCATGAGCCACACCCAGCATATACAACAAACAGCAGTATTAGGCACCAATTGTTCAGGTAATTAAACTACTGAATATCCTTAGAAATAAACAGGTTTAAAGTAATTATGAACAAAAGAAAAGGAATTTGAAGAATACAAAGAGAACAATGCACTATCTAAAAAGAGTAGGAAGAATGGAAAGGACGAGGATTGGAGACTGAACACAGGGCCGGAAAGTGCGCGATATGTGTCACCTCAAAACACAGCTATATCTGCTTCATCCTTCTTTCCTTCTTCCTTCCTTCATTTATTTTTCCCAAACTGAAACGAAAAATAAAAATCCTTGGGGCCCAACATGTGACACCAGTACACACCCACCAGAGTACCCAAAATTAAAACGGCCACCGCTGCATGCCAGTGAGCCGGAATCCTCACACGCTGCTGGTGGGAACACAAAATGGTACAATCACCTGAGAAAAGGTTTGGCAGTTTCTTATAAAACTAAACATATACCTACACTATGACCAAGCAATTCCAATCCCAAGGGAAATGTAAACATATGTCCCCAAAGACCTGTACAATGCTCATAGCAGCTTTAGTCATGACCATCCAAAGCTGGAAACAGCTGTCCATCAGTAGGAGAATGGGCCAAAAAACACCCTGTGGTGTATTCACAGATGGACTCTACTACTCAGCAAGAAAAAGCAATGACCTAATACACACAACAATGTGGAAGAGTAACAAGAACATTATGCTAAGGTAGAGAAGATATCAAAGGATCCATAGTACGTAACTTCATTTACATGAAGTTTTAGAACAGTCAGACTCATCTGTGGTGGAAGCCAGTTGCCCAGGGACGGGGTGAGGGACCATTCTGGGGTGAAGGTAATGTTCTACCATCTCAGTGGGGGTTTGGGTTACACAAGCAAAATCATCTGTCAACACCCAACAAATGTACACTGAAGAACCGCAGGCAAATTTTACATCTAGAAAAATCTGTAAACATGCTGAACTTGTTAGTGGTATGCATGCTGAAATGTTTATGGGTAAGTGTACTGACATCTGCAATTTACCTTGCAGACCGACAGCCTGGTGGACAGAGAGAGGGATAAGCATATGGATAATTGTATGACAGAGCAAGCAGAGTAAAATGATATAAATACTGCACATATGAGAGTTCACTGTAAAATCTTTAATTTTACCTTTTTGTTTTTACATATTTAATTTTCATTTTTTTCCCATACACCCCTCACCCATTTGTCCTAATAGTACATTTGTCAAAACTAAGAAACTAACATTGTTATGTCACCATTAACTAAACGCTCTACTTTTTCTGATTTCACCAGTTTTTCTACTAATTTCCTTTTTTGCTCCAGGATCCAATCCAAGATACCACACTGCACTTTGTAGCTCTTGATTTTTTATTGTTTTGTTTTGATTTTTTTTTACCTTGTGACCCCTTCACCCATTTCTCCCACCCACACCAACTCCCTTCCTCTGGTAACCACCAATCTGTTGTCTGTATCTATGAGCTTGTTTCTTGTTTCTTTAAATGTAAGATACCACATATACATGAGATCATGCAGTATTTGTTTCGCTGTCTGACTTATCTCACTCAGCATAATGCCCTTGAGGTCCTTCCACGTTGTTGCAAATGGCAAGAATTCATTCTTTTTATGGCTGAGTAATAGTCCATTGTATGTAGACCACATCTTCTTTATCCATTCATCCATCGATGGACACTTAGGTTGTTTCCATATCTTGGCTATTATAAATAGTGCTGCAATGAACATAGGGATGCATATATCTTTTTTTTTTTGCGGTACGCGGGCCTCTCACTGCTGTGGCCTCTCCCACTGCAGAGCACAGAATCCGGACGCGCAGGCTCAGCGGCCATGGCTCACGGGCCCAGCCGCTCTGCAGCACGTGGGATCTTCCCGGACCGGGGCACAAACCCGTGTCCCCTGCATCGGCAGGCGGACTCTCAACCACTGCGCCACCAGGGAAGCCCCACATATATCTTTTTAAGTGAGTGTTTTCATGTTCTTCAGGTAAATACCCAGGAGTGGAATTGCTGGATCATATGGTAGTTCTATGCTTAATTTTGAGGACCTTCTATACTGTTTTCCATAGTGGCTGCACCAATTTACATTCCCAACAACAATGCACAAGAGTTCCCTTTTCTCCACACCCTCGCCAAAAGTTATTTTTCTTTTTGATAATAGCCATTCTAAAGGTGTGAGGTGGTATCTCATTGTGATTTTGATTTGCACTTCCCTGATGATAATGATGTTGAGCATCTTTTCATGTGCCTCTTTACCATCTGGATGTCTTCTTAAGAAAAATGTCTATTCAGGGACTTCCCTGGTGGGGCAGTGGTTAAGACGCCGGGCTCCCAACGCAGGGGGCCCGGGTTCGATCACTGGTCAGGGAACTAGATCCCACATGCATGCCGCAACTGAGTTCGCATGCCTCAACTAAGGAGCCCGAGTGCCACAACTAAGAAGCCAGTGAGCCGCAACTGAGGTGCCAGCCTGCCACAAGTGCAAGACCCAGTGCAACCAAGTAAATAAATAAATAAATATCTTCTTAAAAAGTCTATTCAGATATTCTGCCCAGTTTTTAAACATATTTTGTTGTTGTTGTTATTGAGTTGTGTGAGTTCTTTATATATTTTTTGTTAATAACCCCTTATCAGATACATGATTTGCAAATATTTTTTTCCATTCAGTAGGCTCCCTTTTTATCTTATGGATGGTTTTCTTTGATGTCCAGAAGCTTTTTAGTTTGACAGTCCCACTTGCTTATTTTTGCTTTTGTTGCTTTTACTTTTGATGTCATATTTGAAAAATCATCATCAAGACCAATGTCAAGGAGCTTACTGTCTATGTTTTCTTCGAGGAGATTTATGGTTTCAGGTTTTACATTCAAATCTTTAATCCATCTTGAGTTAATTATTGTGTATGGTGTAAAACAGTGATCCAGTTTAATTCTTTAGCATGTGGCTGTCCAATTTTCTCAACACCATTTATTGAAGACACAGTCCTTTCCCCATTTTCAGCCTAGCCTACCTTAAATGTGCTCAAAACACTTACACTAGCCTACAGTTGGGCAAACTCATCTAACAAAAAGTCTGTTGTATGATAAAGTGTTGAATATCTCTTATAATTTGCTGAACACTGAAACAGAATAGCTGTATGGGTACAGAATGGTTATAAGTGTATTGGCTATTTATCCTCGTGACTGCATGGCTGACTGGGACCTGCAGCTCCCTGCTGCTGCCCAGCATCATAAGAGAATTTCATACCACATATCACTAGCCTGGGAAAAGATAAAAATTCAAAGTATGATTTCTACTTAATGCCTATTGCTTTGCACCATCATAAAGTTAAAAAATTATAAGTCAAACCATCATAAGTTGTGGACCATCTGTATTCTTGGCTCTTTCGTAAGTTAACTGATCATTTATGTGTGGGCTTATTTCTGGGCTGTCGATTCTGTTCCATGGATGTATATGTGTGTTTATGCTGGTGCTATACTGTTTTTATTACTATAACTTTGTAATACAGTTCGAGAAGTGTGGTATCTCCAGCTTTGTTCTTTCTCAAGATTGTTTTGATGACTTCGGGTCTTTTGTGTTTCCACAGAAATTTTAGGATTATCTGTTCAATTTCTATGAAAAATGTCATTGGAATTTTTATGGGAACTGCA